GCAGCCAAGCAGAACGTGCCGGTGATATGCACACCTAGAAATGGTACTGATCAATCCTGTGAAGGTTCACTGAAATCCCGCCAGCAGTTTGACTGGGAAGGCTGGCCAAGCTGAATGCGGACTGACAGACAGAAGGCAACAACAATATGTATCCCCAAAAATTTTGGGAGACATATTAAAGGTCAAGGACACATATAAACTTGATATGTTTGTAATACATGTATGCCACCTATCTGCAGCCAATAAGTCATGTTATCAGGTTATTATGCATGACTTCTGACCATTAGTGAACAAAAAATTAATAAGAGTTATCTAGTATCTACTGGTCATGACTAGTCACAAGGTAATAATTATTGTGACCCCATAGGTTGTGTGCAGCAATTTAAGTTATTACAAATCTTACCAAATAATATATGCATAATTTTTAAGAATCATGTAGGCCTCATTAATGACAGTCAAATTGTTATATTACATAAGACCTTCAAATGTGTATACCAAAGCATTTTTACTTTAATACAAGAGCCATGTCAACATGGCCATCCCCCGCCGAAAGTGTTTGCTCATTGGAAGAATGTATATGTAGTAGAGCAGAATAATTCCATTTTAAGAGGTCTTTTGGTAATGAAAACTGATGGCTATAGTGATTACACATTTGAAACCTATGTAAATACTGATGGCTGAAAGGGCATTAACTGAAAAATAATGCAGGGTAGGTTATCATTCTTGTGTGCTGCATCCCTCCTCAGTAAAATCTATCCACCTATAAAGTTTCAAGTTGATACCTCAAATACTTTTTGAGAAAAAAATTGAATTGAAAAATTAAGTATGAAAAATAACAAAGGGCAATAACTCAAAAATTATAAAAGGTAGAGTTATCATTCTTGTGCAGTGCACACCTCCTGAGTGAGATCTATGCACCTATGAAGTTTCATTTTGATATCTCAAAGGCTTTTTGAGTTATGCTCTGGACAAAAATTAATTTTGAAAAATAACAAAGGGCAATAACTCAAAAATAATGCAGGGTAGAGTTATCATTTTTAAGCACTGCACTCTTCCTCAATGAGATCCATCCACCTTTGAAGTTTCAAGTTGATACCTCAAATACTTTTTGAGATAAGCTCTGGACAAAATAGCATGAAAAAAAAACAAAGGGCAATAACTCAAAAATTGTATAGGGAAGAGTTATCATTCTTGCGCACAACATTCCTCCTCAATAAGATCTATCCACCTATGACATTTCATGTTGATATCTCAAACACTTTTTGAGTTATGCTCCACTCAGGTGAAAAATTAGGTATGAAAAATAACAAAGGGCAATAACTCAAAAATTATGAAAGGTAGAGTTATCATTCTTGTGCACTGCACACCTCCTGAGTGAGATCTATGCACCTATGAAGTTTCATGTTAATATCTCATAGGCTTTTAGAGTTATGCTCTGGACAAAAATCAATTTTGAAAAATAACAAAGGGCAATAACTCAAAAATCATGCAAGGTAGAGTTATCATTCTTGTGCACTGCACTCCTTCTCAATGAGGTCTATCCACCTATGAAGTTTCAAGTTGATAACTCAAATACTTTTAGAGATATGCTTCGGACAAAAATGTCGGACGGCAGGACAGACGGACGGACGGACGGAAGGTCGGACGGACGGAGACTATTTCTATATCCTCCTAGGAAGTTCTTAGGCTTAAGCATTCTCTAGTTATTGATCGAAAACCGTTTTTACCTACACGGTCAATGTGACCTTGACCTTTGACCCCAAAATCAATAGGGGTCATCTGCTGGTCATGACCAATCATCATACCAAGTTTGAAGTTCCTAGGCCTAAGCGTTCTTTAGTAATTGATCGAAACCGTTTTTTACCTACAAGGTCAATGTGACCTTGACCTTTGTCCCCTTGACCCCAAAATCAATAGGGGTCAACTGCTGGTAATGACCAATCATCATACCAAGTTTGAAGTTCCTAGACCTAAGCGTTCTTTAGCTATTGATTTGAAACCGTTTTTACCTACAAGGTCAATGTGACCTTGACCTTTGACCCCTTGACCCCAAATTCAATAGGGGTCATCTGCGTATCATGACCAATCATCATACCAAGTTTGAAGTTCCTAGGCCTAAGCGTTCTTTAGTTATTGATCGGAAACCATTTTTACCTACAAGGTCAATGTGACCTTGACCTTTGACCCCTTGACCCAAAATCAATAGGGGTCATCTACTGGTCATGACCAATCACCATACCAAGTTTGAAGTTCCTAGGCCTAAGGGTTCTTTAGTTATCACTCGGAAACCATTTGGTCTACGGACTGACGGACCGACACACAGACAAATGCAAAGCAATAAACCCCCTCTTCTTTGAAGTGGGGGCATAATTAATAATTAATAAAGGATATTAAATGAGTGTAGGTTGAATGAAATTATATTCTTTGTGAGCCTCTGGCAATCTTAATATTAATTCATTCAACAAGTTCAATAATATCAGGAATGAATCTACACAAATATAATGTTCTATTTATAACATTACATAAATTAAAGACTGTTTAAAGCGAAAAAGAAACACTTTTTATTGATGTCCCTATAGTGCAACACTGACATTTAGCATGTCTTTATGCTCTGTTTGTATAACTCAAATGAGGTCACGTCAAACAAGAACTGTCGGAGGACAGTATTGGCTCGACTATTCGAAAAAGTTGTCACAAGGGTATTTTATTGAGTATAATAATGCTAATTACCTATGAATACATAAAATTGACCGAAAAGGTATAAAAGGCTTCTTATTAAGATGTTTTATCAAGTAAATCACTGCTTTATTATTATGAATGCATAAAATTGTCCCAAAAAAGGCACAAACCCTTCAGTAGTTATGGAGATAACAGCTTACAAGCAAATCTTTAACATGAATTTCTAAGTTGAAAAAGGGGAGAAAAATCAGCCTAAATGCAAGACAGAATTATGGATCTTGGTCAGTGACCTACAATTATGACCCTTAATGCATATGTGAAGTTTTAAATAAATATCTTTAATAGTTATTGAGATATGTAAAACTTGCATGTAAACATTAACCAAGAGACTAAGTAGAAAATGGGAGATGAATCAGCCTAAATGCAAGATAGAGTTATGGAACTTGGTCAGTGACATACAATTATGACCCTAAGTACATGTGTAAAGTTTCAAGTAAATATCTTTGAAGACCTTCAACCTTTAACCAAAATTTCTAAGTTTCAAAGGGGCAAATAATTCTGCAAATATTGCAGAAGTTAAAATAGGGCATAATTCTGTAAATATTGTAGGCAGAGTTATCCAACTTGTCAATCTGATGTACATTGTTACTATAAATAAGTATTGTAAGTTTCAATTGAATTTCTCAAGCAATAATTGAGATATTTGACTTTACAAAAAACTTTAACCAAAATTTTTAAGTTAAAAAGGGGCATAATTCTGTCAATATTGTAGGCAGAGTTATTTAACTTGTCAATCCGATGTACCTTGTTCCTAGACAGCGCGCTCCACTTTTCTCAGTGCTGGATAGTTAAATGAAAGCAACATAGAAATAGGACATAATTCATCAAACATGCTTTAAGTTAGCAGACTTACCTGCCCATGGCAGTCAACAAATTATTCAAGTTTGAAGTGAATATCTTAAACATCTTTTTAGAAAAGGCAAATATTCAAAGTAAAAAAAAGAGGAAATGATAAAGCTGAACAACTCCTGTACCCACAGCAGTGATGTCATGGTTAATATGTTTTTGCTTTATTGATGCAAAAGTCAAGTTTTGTCTCAAGAGACATTTTATATTAACCAGCAATTTTGAGCATTTTGCTCAAGGGCTCTCTTAATACAAGTTAAGCAGTATTTTCAAACTACTAATTCACTACTTAAACCTATTACAAAGGTATGGCAGGGTTTTATTACAAGCCAAGTATACTGTATAATATTGCACATTCAGTCTCAATCAGTACATATAAAGCTCATCCTATTCAGCATATCTTTTAATTTTGCCTGGAAATTTCAAAACAGAATTTGCTTTACTTTAGTCACGGAAGAAGTTTATCTAGCATAAAGTTATGAGCACATTTATTTTATGATTTAATCACCATACACTATAACAATAACAACTTCACTGAAATTAGAATGAAGTGCATTTTATTTTTCAGCGTCTAATTTTCTTCTAGCAAGTTAGATTTGTTTGCCTTTCCACTTTTTAACACATTTTTTATCATATCTTAACGGTCAATCCACCTAAAAGAAATTCCAGATGAACTTACTCATAATTTCAAAATTTCTTCCAAGAGATCAACAAATAATCCTACCATTTCTGAATCAGCAGTGACAAAAGTGTCAAATAATCATTAGACTCAATGTCTGAGATCCACAGAAAAATTACGGCTTGCCAGAGAATCGAAACAGCAGCTCCTTGATCACTAATCTGAAGCTCTCTCTATTAACCTTAGCTAGTTGATATTAGCATTGTAGAATTCAAACAATATTTACAAACCTCTCCTTGTTTTTCCATTATGTATTAATAATGTAATTATAACTTTTCTGCTGTCACACAATTAGATTGTTTTTGTTTGGTTTAATGGCACAACAACATAATTTATGTTAAATGGCGCCGAAACAGGAAGATGATTTAACTAACCTTTTACAATCTTAAAGCAACAACAGGTTTCTAAACCACATCACCTGCCAGAGCTAAAAAATGCATAGACTCCAGTAAATTGGACCCATTTAGTTGCTTCTTATGTTCATGCAGAGATAAACGGAGGATGCAATTCAGATGCCTCAACCCTTATAGGCAACCCCTCAAACACAAGGTGAACATGCTTAGTTATTTACTGACTAATATTTTAATCAATGCAATTAATTACCCATACATCTGACTCTGAGATATATCCTGAGACTTAACTATACAAAGGCTTGACAATTTGTAAATAATACCTTATCTTATAGTGTATGATCAACAATCACATACAAGTATGGCATAAAATAAAAATGTTTTACCTATTGTCCAAGCCAGGGTAGCTTCAATGGGTGTTGTGTTTTCATCAATATCGTTACCATAGAGACAGAGCCCTGCTTCCAACCTGAGACTGTCTCGAGCACCAAGCCCTGTGAGCCGACAGTCCACATCCTTGCTGTTTAACATATGTTGAGCCAGTTCTGCGGCTCTTTCTGTAGCCACAGATATCTATATAAATGTTGAGTAATAAATTGAGAATAAGGTTGCATGAATGCATAAGTTGTTTTAAGGAAAGTCTGAAAATCCATAAAGTCTGGTCAGTTGGCAGCATCTTTGTTTAAAACTCTATACTGTCATCTCTGGCAAACTCATAAAACAAACTTTTAAATTAAGAAACAGTACAAAACATACATTCAGCAATATAAGATTTATAATAAGAAACAAAAATATCTTTATCAACAACCAATTGCACTTCACTTTTGTCTTTTTCTCCATAACACAATCAGTCAATATAAGTGAGTAAATAATTGTTTGGTAGGAGAATAAAGCAGATTCCTACTTAAAGCTATAAGAAACTGTGAACAGTGTCAGAGGTTATAAAACAATTCTCTAAGCTTTAACTCAGATCTCAGACCAATTTGAATGGTCAGAAACTGCCACAAAATGTACACTGTCCAATGAAAATCCAGAGATTCAAGACAGAACTCAGAAAATAATTCTATAACCTTGAGGCCAGGTCTATTTTATTTAATCCATTAGACAACAAAAGAACTTTACATCAACATACAGTGTTTTTTGACCTTATATAACAGAGACCTATAAAAGGTCTCTTCCCAATTGAAATTTTCTCTAAAATTATGCACTTTTCCCAAAACTCTTAACTTACACCAGATTTTTTACTTCCTAATTCAGCAATTTTAGCCATAATTATTTCCAAATTCAGGCTAAGGCCTCTTCCCAATTAAGTGAGAAAAATCATTGACCTACCTCTACCCCATCTTCCCCTGTGTAACCACATCTTGTTACTCTACAATCATCTATACCAAAAACCGTGGCCGACCTGGTCGTCATGAATGGTAACTCACTAAGATCAAAATTTAAACCTGGTTGTAACACTTTTACCATACCTGGACCTGAAAAAATATATATTGCAATGAAAGTGTTAAATTGGGTATATTAACCACTTGCCTGCTGGTAGCAACAGATTCTACCCATGTGACTGGCAACAACCATGACATGTGGTCATGATCTGTACTGTTTGATATTCAGTCATTAAAGATTTGATATTACTCCTAGAAATAATCAATGGTTTAATCCAGGAATATAAGAAAATGCATGCTGACAGTCAGTATTAAAAACTTAACTGAATTTTTAGATCACTTTTCAAATGGGTTTATTTAGTTTTTAAAACTTAGTCTCCTGGATCCGTTTAAATGACTTTACTTGATTTTTTGACTGATTTTTCTTGTTTTTAAGACTGACAGTTCTCTTTTTTATGGCTTATTTCCCAATCTTATTTAGACATATTTTCCCCGCTTTTTGGGTAGACTTTACATAATTTTTAGACTGATTTTACACGTTCTTTAGACTGGAAGTTTTTTTTTTTCTTATTTTTCACAGGGACTTTTACTGCAAAAACACTTATCCTGCTGGTTTTCTACAGACTTGTAATGGTTTGTAGTATTTCTTATCTCTGGGACTGGTTTTAAGAATCATTCTGCGCTGATGTTTTTTTTTAAATTTAATTTCCTATGTCTCTAGAATTACTCTATGCCTGGTTTTTAAAATTACTCTGCTCTGCTTTTTTTTTTTTTATTTATTTTCCTATGTCTCTAGAATTACATTGTAATTTTCCGCCTCATTTTTACACCTTAACAATTAATAAAGCACACTCCCTAAAAATCAAGTGATTCCATGTTAATTTTTTTTAGCTGATTATGCCAGCACTTTTGCTGGCATAAGAAATTATAAAAACCATACCTTGTAGAGCTAACAATCCTTTACATATCACATCAACTTTTACATCTAGACCTTTACATCTCATATTCTCGGCTTGATTCTGAAACCAAATATGTAGATAGTATTTTAACAGGGCATTAAAATTTTCAAAATTTTGAAAATACTGGGATAATAATTCTTAATATTTACATGAAATGATGTATTCGATGAACTGATGTACTGACAAACAATTATGTTGACGTATTTATCATTGACCAATGTAAGCTAGCCTAGCTATGTCCTATGTGAAAATAGTTCATCCTAGGTTGGCTCGAACTACCAATCTATCAAACTAATTTGCACCCACCTACCGAGTTCGAGCGAACAAATTTTGACTGTACTTATAAACATGTATTTATTTATCAATTCATGATGTGAAAAATACTTGTTAGTTTTGTACCTCATGTAAATATCAAATAGGCATAAAACCATTAATACATTTGATCACTATGATTATTATCAATGAAGACGGCAATCAACTTGATATAAATATTTGAATAATAGAGCTAAAACTAACCATCATCAGCGGCAAATCTTTATCCGCACATCCAGCATTTGAGACAACATAAAGGTAACCCTGATCTGTGTTGTTTATAATCAGATCATCTATTATACCTCCGGTGTTGTTGGTGTACAAGGACAGTGTTCCTTGGTTAGGTTTCAGACCCGCAATGTCCCCTACAACAAGGCTCTCCATATACTGTTCATACAAATATGAAAATGAAGAGTTAATTAATAAAATATCTAGTCGAAGGTCAAACTTAAAAACAGAAAATATTGTCATTTTGTTTTTATGTTGTTTTTTTGTTTTTTTAAATTAGAAGTCAATATGTTGAATAATTATGTAAAACTGCAATTTTCTACATTATATAGGCACATTCTTTAGATAACAAGTGAAGCCTTGTGTAACAGAAAGCACTTCTTAGATTCAATATACTTGATTGTCTTTTAAAATTTTACTGCTTTTAATTTTAATAAGTATCCATTTTTTTTAAGAAAGTCAGTTCTGTATACTTGGTTAATAGGATTTTTTTCTTTTCAGAACACCCTTACATCTTACAATGCTAGAACTGGCCAAAAATGGATTTGTTCTGCTTTGAATTTGAAACTTTCCCTTTTAAATGTTGAGAATTTTGATATCAAAATATTATACTAAAGCAGCCAACAGTACAGAACCTGGCTATGGAAAAGGGGGCTGGGCACAGGCACTTCATTGACAGTCACACCATGCAAATTATCCTCACAGCTATCATTTCAAAATATTGGTTTGCATTTTATTTAAATATTTTTGTTCGTAATACAACATAAAAGTTACAAATATTCTGTTTTTAACTTCAAAAAATAATATCCCTATAGACACAATTACATAAAATACAACATGTACCTGAACCCGATCCTTCCCGCTAACTTTCGTTTGCAGCATGTGCGAGACGTCAAATATTCCTGCCTGTGTGCGAACATTGTTGTGAGAATCTGATATCGAGTCTTTGTACTGTACTGGCATTTCCCACCCTGCAAATGGTACCATTTTACCTCCATTCTCAACATGGAAATCATACAAGCATGTTCTTAGCAGTTTCTGTAAGGTTTATAAAACATGTAAAACATAACATTTCACCATGGCCAGCAAAATCTGATTTTGTCTTATTTGTCTGTTTTTATCAGAGGCATTTCTTAACTTGTCCGTATGATATAAAAAGAGTTAATTATTGAAAGTTTCCATTTGTCTATACAGGCTGACAACCTGGGCAATACGAAAAAGTATATAATAATGAAGATATCACATTGATTTGTTTATGTCAAAAAGTGAAAAATGGAATCCCTAAAGAAAATCCAAAATGGCAATATTGAAAATGTTTCAGGCCCAAATTCAGCCTGTTCATGGACGGTACTGCAAAGTGCAAGCTACCATCTATGCCCATTAGCACTGGCTTGAAATAATTTGACTTCATTTGTTCGGAATGTAAGTTAATCTATTCATCTGTTGTCAAATATACATGAAACTCATAATGTGTAATCAGTCACAGTGATTTCATTTTATTAATATGACTCTGAAAATATCAAAATATAATTCCCTGTACACCACATTTCAGTACATAATACATCACTGAAAAACATAATTATAATAATTTGTGAATTCTCACTTCAAAACTAAAATAAATTAAATAAATAACTTACTGTGCTTGCAAATCTTTTGAAGTGTTTCACACCATGTATATATCCATGTTTCAAAAGAGCAGCTGGGAAACCAAACATCATTTCCTGAAATCATAGATAAAAGCAGCAATGAATTTGATGAAACATAATCCAACTAAAACTATTCTCAAAATGTGTGCTATGGGAATAGGGCTGTCATTGATGGACAATTTTGTATCAATATTGACAATATTGACTTTAACAGTAAATACAATGAAAAACATTTAAATGTCTGTTATAAAATAGGATCATGGAGTTATGCATGCTTGTATTAGACTACAAATACTTCATACTAACAGAAAGTTTCTTTTTTCTGATATTTTTGTCACTGACATTTGAAAACAGAGTTTAAATGTCAAGTTAGCCTAGAAAACTGGAAAAAAGTGACTTCTCTTCTTAGGAAAAATTGAGAGGTATATATTTACTAACATAAATAAATAATTTTAGCTTGTATAGATATTTGAAAATGTGTATCGATATTGTATCGGATGCTGAATATCGCGATATTCAATGACAGCCCTATATGGGATCCAGCTTTATAGTTTGAACTCAACTGTCTATATTTCTCTTTTTTTATATATACATGTATATATAAATTTCAAAAAGCTGTATCTTGCAGCCAACTTCATATTCTGGCCAGACATACAGAACTTCAGACATATATGTGTAACTACATGTATATACACATGTACAGAATGCTGCCATGATGTTACATGTATTTTACACAGATATTTTTGTTAGGTGCCATTACTTGTCTGAGTTCTAGAATCAACACCATTTCAGTTGATGTCATAAAGTCTTGTAAGATGTTTCTTCATAAAGACAACACTTGGATATTTTTAACATCCAAGTAAATTTAATGTATCTGCCAAATTTTCTGTGATTAGAAAATATTATTTGTAATCTTTTCTGCTTAAATAAATAAGATTAAATAACTCAATAAAACTGAAATATTGGATCCTTGATTATTTGTGAATATTAGTAATTATGTGCAACTTATTTCATATTGAACTTATTTTAAAAAATATTAATGTATTTTTAGCCGTTTGTACCAGATTGGCAAAAAATAAAAAATAAAAAAAAATGGAAATTTACTGTGGATTTTGTCCTGTTAAATTGTTTAACTGTTGGTGTGGATAGATGGGTTTTATTTAAAAAAAAAAGAGAATATTTGCTTAAAAAAATATTTTACCTCAAAATAAACTTTAAAATTACAAAATCAGATAATAAATGATAAAGGTACGATGTTTTTCAAAGTATGTATTTGTTTCGCATGGGTGTTATACACTTCGCGCAAGTAAATTATTGATTAATGTACCATTATCAGGTGCAGGGCTTTTTTTCACAGTTTGGGGAAGCAGCCCAGCCCTTAATTTTGGGGAAAAATTACACGGTATATTTGCAAAAGGGGAAGAAAAAACTTGATGTAAATTTATGAAGCAGCCCTATACCGGCCCCTGTTATAGAAGGAAAAAAGGCCCTGAGGTGCGAGACAGGAAAATTAATCATCAATGTATGGTAAACTGGCACTTTCCACTGCATGCAATTCAAGATCTGTTTGCACCTATACTGGCTTTAAATATGAAAAATATGTCTCATGTTAAAAAACAACAACAAAAAACGAGCGATCATAATTAAGTTGATTGTGTTGGGGGAATATGCTGCACTGAATCATATATGAGCCTGTGGCCTGTATTTGGCCGTAAAATAAAAGGGGAAAAAAGCACTAAACATGACTGATTCATTATGTTATGAATACCAAATAAAATACCAACAATGACATGTATCAAAATAGCACAATCAAACTTTTGTAGCCATTACAAGACATGACCTTATTTCCTTCAACACAGTTCAATATAAACAATGTCGCGAAATTAAGTTACTTTTCAAAATAAAGCTTGTAAAGATATGTGACATTCTTTGGTATTCTCATTAAAAGCAAAACAATACTATTCTGATTCATTCGTATGTGTTTCATGTCTTACTTTCCGTGAGTAAAAGATATTCTGGAAGTAAATAACTGTAATTGAAATAGAAATTTATTTTGTGAGTAAATGCAAGCGTCTGCTCTACAAGCAAGGTCCAAAGCAACTAAAAATACTTTTACGGTCAGACAACACTAAAACCGTTTCGTGAGGGTCCATCTGCTCATTAAGCCGTAATCTAATAAAACGTACAAATAACAGAAACAAGATGTTTGAATTGATAAATAGCCATGCCAAATTTGAACAACAATACATATACTACAAATGTATTTGAATTATAGAATGCACGAACTGTGTATGGGAAGCTATATTCCCAATTACTAGTCAATTGAATTTGGCCATTTAAAAGAAAAAAAACTGCCATTTTTTTCGAAAGTGAACCATGGATTTATACTGTGTTCACCTGTAGTTTACAAAGTTTAAAACGTTATAAATATACTCTATATATGTATACTCAATACATGTTTATTTTACCTTTGTTATTATTAATATTTTCAAATGTCACCTGATGTAACAATGTTGAAAAAAATAAATACAATCTTCTTTGATTTCTTATGGCAAGGTCCGGCCAAAACAAAAACAAAAAAAATTATAGTAAAGGAATACAAATGTACTGTGAAGGTGGTCTAAAACTGACATTTATCAGAGGAATGAAACTAACATGGATTAGAAGGTTAATTTTCTATAACAGCCAATGCCAGACACTGGCACATCTTTATTTTGATGAAACTAAATTGTTCACTTGCGGAAAACACTATGCTGAAAAAATGGCAAAGGCCTATAACAACCAATTTTGGAAAAATGTTCTTTTAGATCTTTTACATTTTATATCGTTAATGAACACAGATTCAGAAAATTGTCTTAATGAACCGTTATTTTATAATCACAATATTTTAATTGGTGACAAAAGTGTTTTTTACAAATCTTGGTACCAAAAAGGTGTTACATGTATTAATGACATTTTTGATAAAGACAATTATATAATAATCTTGACTAAAGATCATTTACAAAATCTATTTGGTTTGAGTATAAATATACTGCATTATATGGGAATCAAAAATAGTATTAAGAAATTTCTTTAAAAAAATGAAAATCAATGTAAATATAATAGATAAGCAACAATTAACAACCCATCTTACCTGCTTACTTATCAGTCATAATTAAGAATAAACAAGGTACCAATGCCATATACAAAATATTTAACAATAAGACTGAAAAACCAACAAGTCAGATTCCTGTATCTTATACTTTTGTTTCTTGTCATTGTATACAGTTTATAATTATACATGAATGACATTGTAAGATGCTGTTTGGGATGCCCTCGACCCTTCAGCATCATATGACGAGGACAATAATAAAAAAAAAAATTCATATGTCATATGGCGACGTTCCTGCTTTCCTGGTTGAGGAATACCTCAGGTGCCCTATATGCATTATTATTGTTTCCTGTTTACAAGTATTTACTTATATAACATCTGCGGCATCAAAGAAATATTTTATGAATGTTTTATATTTTATAGCCAGCCCGCGTAGCTCAATCGGTTAGAGCGCGAGACATCTCGACATTGTGGACTCGATTCGCGGACTGGACAACTGAAATTACTCAAAACAAACTTTATAATTCGGATGAGATTTTATATCGAGGTCATATGTATGAATGCTTTTACTGGGTTCGTTAAAGAAGCAGGGATGGGGCATTTCACTCTATCTGTATCTTTCACTATCAGCTTAAAACTAAAAGACTCTGCTTGAGGACTCGCACATTTGGGTATAACTCAAATACACACACAAAGAAATATTTTGTCTGGAAAATTAGGTTGACCTAAATAAGGAATGAAATGTAATGGTAAAGGATAGATTCGCTAATCAGTAGAATTATATCACAAAGATAGACGACATTTTAAGCATTATTTGTTCAGTTCTTTCATTATCACATAGACTGGCGTTCATTTTTATTACAGTGGAATTATGCCCATCAAAGGACATATAGTGACTGAACAGATGAAAGTCAAAATAAGTTTATATTTCCCTTAATTCCTTTTATTTTTAAATTTTCTTTGCATTGACGATGAATAACTCACGTAGCCCAATGACATTTCTTTAAATATGCATACGATCAATTTATAGAAAGAGTGGGACAGTCTTTTTATATTTTAGGCATATTGATATTTTATCCTAAACATTTTCCAATATCAATTATTGGCCAACCACCTTTATAACAGTCAGTCTTTTCAAATATTCAGTCGATTCAACTCAACAAGGAAATGAAAAAGAAGCATAATGTCACTTTAAATTAGTAGAACAGAAATATCAAGACTGGTACAATCTCGTTTATCTAAGTATTATTGAAAAAAAAAAAACAATAAACAAGATACATTGGTATTGGTCTTCACATTATAATGCACGGACTAAGATATATTTGCAATTGACATTTTAAAAGATTTAAAACGTCAGATAGTGCTCAGTAAAAAATCGTAAATGTGTCGTGCTGACTTTTTTTTCATATAAATACATTGTAAATGTAAAACATGCACATAATTTTTATTGTTATATAAAGCTTTGCGGCATTGTTCGTCTAGATTAATGAACAAGAACACATCATAAATATTTTGCACCTGGTGAAGTGCTACCTCAACATTGGAATTCAGCTATATTGTTTATTTTGAGCGTTTGGATGGTTTTTATGAGCCCCGATATCTGCAAATAGTACAATATCAACCACAGAAATCAAAATGAGTTGTTAAAAAGCAAAATACTCGTTCAACAGTTTTCAGCCATCCTTCATTTGGTCAAAGATTTAAAGAATAAAGACACATATAATTAATTTTTAATCTTTAATCCTGATTATTAAAATCTTCTAAAACATGTGCAAATAAATAGAAAATAGAGATTTATAGCTGATAAATTGTGCGTTATGTTATATATCAAGATCATTTAAGATTAAGCAATATCTTTGTGACTAACACTGTCTTTGTGCTCGACAGATATAAATAGATTACCTCTTCAAAAACTGTTAAACTTTTCCTTTTACTGTAATGTGACAATTCATCCCGCAGAGAAATGTGTCCATAAATCATAGTTCTACTTAAAAATACCACAAGAACATAAAATCGTAAAAAACCTGTTATTTGATTTATTCTTTAGTTATAACAAAAATAACATCCAGGCATTTAATGTACAGCCCTTTCAATAAAAAAGTCTGACATGAAACAGGTCCAATAAAACCCTACCGGCAACATTTTTATTTGCTTAGCTTTGATGGGCAACATTTGATCATTTTGATTTGCAGATATGAATAAACATTACCCTCCGTTATTTCTATCTGCTCTCCCTCTGATTAATTATTATACGGGTTTAATCTGCTGATAATGATTAAAGAAAACATTTATATGTTGTTGTAATATCAATTTAAAAGGAGCCATGTAAATGTATAGGACTTTACAGAATCTTTAAAACTTTGAACTATATTTCTTTAGTGATAAAAGTCAGATTTGATATGGATTTTTATCATGTTAATTAAAACTCACAATACATAAGTATGCTACAATTTGTGTACACATAACCGAAAGTTAAATACAAACTGTATACAATGATGTTTCATTCTATAAACAACTTTTTGTGGTTTTAATAGAAAAAGAAGATGTATCACATTTAGGAGTGAATGACAGAAATCTTAGGAACAAAAATTATCTTATTTGAAATACCAAAGTTATTTTGAAAGGTTCTGTAATGTCTGCTATATTTAAGTTGCTAGGCAAAATGGGTAGAGATGAGATATTAAGTAACGCCGCTTTCGGTTTTTAAATCTATAAATGATACTAGAAAGAATTTAGGCAGGGCTTATCAACTAGTGACTAATCGTATTTGACCAATAACCGAGACTATTACATCGGAGAAGAATTACAATCATTTTTTCTTAGAAGAACAACTTGCAAATACTATATATATGAATAGTCTATGAACTTAAAATCCCCGAAACGAAAACAAAATCATTAACATAAACTGGCATAGTTTTCATTTATCTAAGACGCAGAAAGTTTCCAGAGCAATATAATTTAAAAACGTTGTAAACTGTCTAAGAAAAAATGTTACACTGATTTATCTGAATATTTTTTCGAACTTTGAATGATAAGTTGCTATATTGCTATTTAATCTAAAGTAACACGTCATTTATGTTCTTAGTAGTCAATTTGTATGGTCAGTTTGTTTTAATTGAGAATCTATCTGACAGTAAATGGTTGATTAAATGGACTGATCTGAGTGATATGCCTTCTCAAATCATCATATATTGTGTCATGCTTTCAGATTCCCTTGATTTTCGTTTATCCAATTACAATGCACGTATATCTCATTATTCCATATTAAGTAAGCACTTTCTGTCCAAGTTTATATGTTGTTCTGCGAATATTTGCACGTCTGTTCGCGTATTTGTTTATTTCTGAGTCCTTTTCTAACCTTTTTTTCTCTTTTTATTTAAGATCAGTAATTTGTTTCTGATTGTCCTGTTGATCGAAAATCATCATGCTGGTCTATTCCAGGCAAATGAATTTTTTTCTTTGTTTTCAATATTCTTTTGTGTGTTTCTCGTTAATTGCAATACCTTTGGCCTTAGTCCCTATGGTATTACAATGCGCTGTTTCAATATTAATATGGACTAAAAGTTTATTTATTAATTTTTAGAAAATCTTGAAATTCTCATGGTTCGGCCATTTATCATGTTGAATGCACTTGACAAGTCCTTGAATGAATTTGTTTTGAAAGTACTTTCTATCAATTTGATCTAAGGTCATAGCCATTGGCCAAGACTTTCCAAATACATTATGCATGTAATCTATCTGATATTTGATACCTCACGTTCTTCTTGACTAGATTTTGACCGTGGAATGATGTAAGCAGGGCTTAATGCTCTTGATTGAAAATTCAATAGTGGATTTGTAATTTTGTAGCCTAAATAACATTCTTTCAAGACATTCTTTCTTTGCTGGAGGTTTGTGTGTTGACTTGGAAATGTTGACTAGCAGTTTTTGATTTGTAATTCTTGTTTTTCTTTCTAGTCAAATGGAAAATCTTTTCTTGTTAATTTTCTTACAGGTTCCGAAATTATTGAATCATTTGGAAAGAATTTGAGCAGCAAATTTAAAGTTGTAAGAAAGATTTATATTTGTCAAATTTTTTTTTCTTTTTTTTTTGTCTTTATTTTTTATCATGTGGTATCAGTCCATTTGTAGGGAGGGTATGACAACTAAATGTGATAGTTGTCTTGCAGAATCCATTTTTGTTCAGCGTTAGGTTTTTGTCTCTTAGGCGTTGTACAACTTTAGGCAGCGTGGAGTCACGTTGTTCGTTTGTTGTGCCATATACTTATATATCATACAAAATAGTTTTGCAGTTCGGTATCTCTCGAAGTGTATGTTGTATTATGCGTTGGTATACTTCTGAAGCACAGGACATTCTAAATATAAGTCGTCGACACGATATACATGTATTCCATCGTTTGTGACAAATGTTTTTTTCCCTTGATTTTGATCGAGATCTATCTGATGATACCGCATGTTAACATCTAGTTTAGTGAAGGATTTGGCTTCACTAAGTTCTTCTAGTTATTCGTAAATGCACCATGTTCTACTGCTGTATTTGCTTACCTCATGTCTGCGCAAATTCTTATGTCGCCATTGCTTTTAAGTGTAATTACCAGGGGTGACATCCAGGCAGTACAACCTTTAACATTTAACATTAGAATCTACAAGTTTTATTCTTTAAACAGGTATTCAGTGATTTGGCTGTGCAATAATGCACTAACTTTTTATTGAGAATATCATCCTGGAAGCCCTTATTAAGTAACAGTCATTTAGTATGTTCCAAATTCTTAATTCAAGGATGTTTGTAACTCTAGAAATGGAAAAAATGTGTAGCAGTTCACTTGCTTTCACCTATTTTGTCAGATTTGCATCATAACATAGTATTTATATTTAGAAATCATTTGTAATTTATCTGTACACTTAAATAGAAAGAATATCGGAGACATTAGTATAGAAATATGGGACTACTGGACTAAGTATAAATCTAAAGTGTTAAAAAAACCTGCATCGTCAAAGAAATATTGTGCCTAGAAAATTAGCTTGTCCTAAAGAAATTGAATGAAACCTAAAGGTAAGGAGTAAATTCGCTATTTTTTAAGAATAAAATCACTTAGATATGACAACTATTTATTAAACAAATAATGATTAAAATGTCGTCTTCTCTTTATTTAATGAAGGTAGCGTAAAAAAATCATAAAATTATTAGAATAGAAATAACAAAATTGGCACAATGTCGTATATTAAAGTATAATTGCATGAGATAATAGGAATTAAGACTATAATTATTATTATCATGCCCGGACTAAGCTGATTTCCAACTGACATTTTAAGTCGCTGATACATGGAATTAAAACTTTAAACAATGCTCAGGATAAACAAGCTCATAAATGTGTCGCGCTCATTTTTAATAAATAAATATTATATTTGCACACAATTTTGTTTGTCATATAAATCTTTGTGCGTTTTATTTCGTCCAGACTATTGAACAGCATCGCATTATAAATAATTTGCACCTGGTGAAGTACTCTTTTAACAATGGATTTCAGTTATATTGTTTATTATGAGCATTTGTATGTTTTTATGAGCCATAATATCTGCAAAAAACCGGCGAAAATAAACATCAGTAATTTAGATAAATTACATAAAAACTACTCATTCAATAGTTTCCTTTTATCATTACGTTGGTCAAAATAATAAAAAAACTTAGAATAAGATCTTTTATTCTGATTATTAAATCTATAACTACAAACATACATGTCAAGCAAGAAGAGATATACTAAAAAGCATCACAAGTAAAAAAACGTTTAACTTAAATATGAAAATTATTTGTTATGTAATATTTTTTACAACTTATTTCATATCGTTTCACTGACCTCTATAATATACATGTTACACATAATCATTTTGATACTAAAAGAACACGACCGCTGCTCATGTTATGGCTCTACAGAAATATTCTGCCCTGGTAGTTTCACACGGCCTAAATGGAGTAAAGCATGACTCTGTTTAAGGATATTAAGATTGTCCGCATACATATATACAGTGTAAGGCGAATCCTATTCCAAAGCAAGCGTAATACAACCAGACCACCCCGGATAACACTGATAAAGGGTCGAGACACATTTGTTATGCATATATGCCAGATTTTAAAGCAGGTAATTTCAATGATACATGTACAAAGAAGTAGCACAAACATGACATATGCCTCACACACATGCTGATCTAGGAGTGAAACTGCATTATGTTGCTAGAAAATAATTTTGAAAGGAATAACAATTCATGCATACTTTGTAAATGTGTATGCCTTGAAGCTAGCCAAATCGGAAAATTGACAGTTTTAGGATAATAATTTTTAAATCCTTATCTAAGCACGACCTATTAACACCGCACGAAATCTGATCTAACTCTTTACAGTTGGCATTGCAACTACAATACTAAATGTATAAATCGTTATTTAGTAAAAGTTAAGAATTTATTTGACTTTGGGCAAGGTTCTCGTATAAGAAATGTAATGCAGCATTTCAAAGCCAATCTATTAAAAATAATGCATTAAATTTACTGTTTGAGAAAAGCATAATTAGATAGATGATTGTTTCTAACAATAAGACTCAAGTTCAGATCTACTAATGTTAGCATTATAGCATTAATTAGGATCTGTTTTTCATCCGAATAATGTTTCTAACTACTTCAACGAAAGGAGATGTGGCTAAACATAATAATATACCCCCGAACGGAAATCATCTTTCACAAATATCAATAAACTGTCACATGGCAGATATGGTTTAATAGTTAAACTCATTAAATTAGATAATAACGCCTACTTTGCATATTGTAATTTTCATACATAATTGGGTTGTTAAGCTTGATTACACGTCTATAAGTATTTGGTCATTTTAATGCACAGATAGTTAGAGTTTAGATTTGAATTAACAAAAATGTAAACATTTTAGACATGCAGGAACGTAGTTTTTGTAGAAATCGTCTTCGATATGCTTTTAAAGTCGATTTATTGTACGTTTAGTCATTTCATCAACTTCCTCTATAGTAGGACATCCCTTTTCCATCTTATCAGCTACCTCCCTTATTGCTTTAGCAGAGTCGGGAATCTTTCCTTTTCCAACATCTACAGCAGAGGTGACAAGAGTGTGCAAGTCAATCGGAAGTAAAAGTATTCCGACCACACCACCAGCGATATGAGCACCACGTGCAGCCGTTCCTGCAACACGGAATAACGTCTTGCCAGCGTTAGATGCATCTCCCGCTAAACTTCCCGAAAGCTTCAAACTGTTAATGATGGTTTTCCCGACAACAGACCAGCTAGCGTTCACAGCTGTAGATGCACATCCCTGTGTAAGTTTCCCCCAAAAGCGTACCCATTCCGGTATTGTTCTATCAATGTCTTCAGTGCCTTGCGAAAGTTCGATACATTTCATTTTTATTTTGTCTGATTGCTCGTTATACTTTTTTATAGCCTCTTCCGCAGCTTTGGTTTTAGTTGACGACTTAACAAGGTTTACAACAGACGCAGCACCTGTTGTCACACCGCCTGCTCCTGCGACTACCCCACCTACATGTATATGTTAAAGTAAATAAAAGATTTTACATCTAAAAAATGATATGGGTTTTTGACTCTCAAAAGATTGAAATATGAAATGCATTTAGATATTTTCGACTGAAATGAATGAAAACGAGGCTGCATGAGTGCAATATGGACAATAAATTGCCTTTGTTGAATCTGGAAATGAAGACAAAGATAAAATTGGATGAAATAATGATTGTTAATGGAACATCACTTGCTGCATACGCTGACAGTGCAAATAATATGTAGGTACACTGATAAGATACGTAAACTAGCCACTGGTTGTTGTCTCTTTTTACAAAACCAATCGTTTTGTTATTTGATATCAAACATATGAATATTGATGAATTATTTACCTGCAATGGTTAAAATCAGTGATGTGCCGAACGTGACAAAAGAGAGACCAAAGCCAACAATAGCTACAACTCCACCAGCAATAGAAGCTGCAGAACCTCCTATTTTAGCCTTGGACGTTTCTGAAAGAAGATACATGGACATAACAGCTACGAAATGTAGAACGTATAGAATGTGAATCCATAGATGTGTGCATTATCTTTTACATTTTTATTTTTTGAAACAAAACAAGCTTAAACTCATGCTTAATTGTGTTGTTAAATGTTTTATTTTTCATTTCGAGTGCTGTATTTTGTTTGATACAACATGCAATATCGTTAAGAATGCACTTTTATATAACAATGAAATATAACCATCAACTTATTTATCAATGCATACTGCATATTACGAGCCTTTTTTATTTGTCTTATAATGTTTACATAAAATATATTTACAGGCAGATCACAATGATTTAGAAATGAACCAACTTTTAAACAGGTCTTCGATTTCGTCAGCCAGTTCTCGGAGACACTTAATACTTTCTTTGGTATCTTTAATCCATAAGACAATGTCATCTCGCATTTCTTTCAAAGTTTCCCTCGTTATTTTCTCCGTTTCTTTTTGTTGACCGCCATATCCTCGACTTTGTTTAACAAATTTACTTGTTACTTTAGTACTAGAATTTTCTTTAATATATTCCTTGTATACAATACTTGCATCTCCGGGAGATTCATTTCCATCCAATATAGTGACTTTCATCGCACCGATCGGAGAGCTCATATCTATTATTTTGTGTATTGTTGCAATTTTGTATTGTCACAACTGAAGAGTGTATAACAATATTGCGAGCTTTCTTATAAACTCTTGAAGCTGTTTAAGATTGCACACCTTTTTACATCTTATTTATGTTTTCTCGATTATTGCTCGATTGCTTTGAAGTGGAAAGCGTGGGTAGGACATAATGATATGGAATGTTTTTTTCCATAGTAAAACTGTTTAAATAAAGGGACAAAAAAGACCAATTCTTATGCTGTTGAATTGTCTAATATATCAAAATCATTAAGATTATGCAATAAATTTCAGCAAAGCATGTCATTTGCAGGACAGACATCAATAGACTAGCACTTCATATTGATACAAAACCTTGACAGAAATTTCCTGTTATTGTAAAGTTAAAATTTAATCCACACAGTTACTTCTGTCCATGAATTAAAGTTCTACTTTAAAATATTGTAAAAAATATCGTATAAAAGCCGTCATTTGATTTATTTGCTTACTTTTTACGAAAATGAAACGTATTGCCCTTCAGTGAGAAATTCTTCAACAAAAATGTTTTTTTACCTTTGCTAGGCAATATTTGATTGTTATCAAATCTATAAATAAGCGTTCCCACCTGTTATCACTATCTGCTCCCTTCTGATTATTACTATAAGTACAATTGTATCATAGTTTGGAGACATTTCTGTTGAAAATGTGTCAGGGTTAAATCGTATACATATACATGCACAGTGCGTTAACTGGAGTGCGGGTATTAGTTACCCGCACTCCAGAGCATGCCCATTGATTGGCTCATTTTTGCTGGGGTTTACATATTGTGACGGCAGAGAAAGAGAAAGCGACAGAAATGTCATATTCAGATGTTCGTTCATTGGTTCATTTTTGCCGGGGTTTCATATTGTGACAACAGGGAACGTGCTTTTATGTTTGACTATGATACAAAAGAGAAAGAACACCAAAAACACTCGGCAATCTGATTAATACTCGGGGGCTACGCCCCCTCGTACAAATCAGATAGCCTCGTGTTTCGGTGCTCTTTCTATTACTTTGCTGATTATGACTGTAGTTATAACCGCCTCCGTTGTCGAGGGGTAAGAGTCGATGACTTCTAATCCAGTTACCTCTCTGGCGTGGGTTCGATCCCCGGGAGATGCTTTGGTATTTTAGCGCGGAGGAAGGTAGTCTAGTACTGGTGTAACTCACCAGGAACGATGGTTAGGAAACTACCCGCCTATATGACTGAAATACTGTTGGGAAAAGGCGTAAAATGAAACAAACAAACAAACAAAAGTAATATGAGTATAAAAACAACTATTATTAACTTTGTTATCACAAAATCTCCAAATTGTTTACCTTTATTTTCTTTGTGAAGAGAAAAATAAGATTTGATTTGAGAATATATGTTCTTATGTTAACTTGATAAAACTCATATTGCATGGGTAGGCTACAATGTCTGTTTCACCTCAACGGAAGCAAAACAAGGGTTGCATATCTGCTTTCAAGTTACCTTGTGGGAACTTTCTTTTTGTCGGTTTACAAAATTTTGTTAACTATTTAATAGAGGAATAATTTTCGAAATAAAAGGGACTAAACTCCATGTAGCAAAGCCCGGGTTACTGAGTTTATCTGTGTTTCCCCTTTGTTACCGAGTGTCTATACCAAACGATAAAATTTTAACACATTATCAAAACCTTTAACGAAATGATTTATAATGACACTGATAATACTAACACAAGGAAACAGTGAAACATTGAATTCTTTGGTCAACCCTACTAAAATCTTAAATGCCATAACAGTGATTGAAATATTGATGTCACAACATTTATTTTCCTTTTCCTAAAAGCAGACCAATGCAATTTTAAGATGTTAGATGGAATCACGAAAACATAGTTTGATATAACTTGAGTCTTTGCCTTTTCCTGGCTCTTTTCTTAATTTTACAAGATAGTTTAGCGTGAAAATAACATCGATAATGACTACGACGACACCATCTTGATAAAGAGCTGTCAGTATCCATCGACGACAAGGGAAGTAATCACTTCTCATATGTAATCAACGAAATAAGGTAAAGCGCCCTCATAAAGTTAGGCAATACAAGGTCAATACGGAATCGTGTTCAGTGAAATAGGCAGTGTTTACAATAGGACTTACTTCCGAGGAGCGCTTACGTAACTTTGGAGTGGAACATAAATATTCATAAATATTCATTAATACAATGTTACTGTATGTGAGATACCTCTTTCTTTAATAATGCACCAGAAAGATAGATCAAGAAGATGTTTCTTTTCTTCTCTGTTGATATATTACATTATGACATTTATAACATCATTAAAAATAAACTAAATATACATCGGTCTTTAAATTATTCCGAAAGTATTCCAAGTCGGATGTTTTACAACATAGGCACACACATGTACATTTGGACGTTTGACGGGATTGCAAATTCGGTGATTGTCCACACCTTTGAAATCAATAGATGTCATTATGAAACATCACTATTAAATTCAGGGCATGTCTTTCTGAAACATAGTTCGTATATTCAGGGTTTGTAATGCTGAAATATATACTGAAAACTTAACATGTCACAATATAAAAGATGAACAAATAATTTGACTGCTGTTATATAATACATATTTGTATATAATGCCTTATTGGTCTTAGTGTAGTTTTAAAACAGACATTTTCTTAGTTGTGCAATATGCAAAGCATCTTTTGTAAACATCGGTCAGACAGTTCCTTATGATAACATAGCAGGAATGCAACCACAAACAGATACATTATTTTACCAGACCACCAGCTGAAATATTTAAAGCGAAGATTAGCGTTTCACGCATGTACAACAAAGTTATGATTGCGGGGGATTGCACGGCACATAAACAAAGATGTGTTTGATTATTTACAGCCAGTGATAAACTTGCATGCATTTCTGTTTTAAAGTGCAACACTGCTTTTGAAACAACACGTCAAACATTATCTGTGTATTCATAAAGGTACATGTATACCAATAAAATTATGTATATATTAAGTATTAGATAAGAAAATGGCAGTTCTGATTTGAAAGTGCAAGTAGCCAACCTGGAGAATGTATTTTTTTAGTTTCTGAAGATACTAGGTAGCGATACTTCCTTTTATTTGTCTGGCATATAACTTTCTCATATTATACATGTATATAATTCTAAGGTACTCTTTCAAAAGATTGTAAAAATAACCCAAAAAAAACCCCACAAAACAAAAAAGAAACAGTCATTGAAATTAGTTCAATTTATCATAGGAGACATCCTAATCCTTCGATGTTTTTACTTTTTACTAGAGTGTCTCTAATGTTAACCATATCCATGTTGAAAAAGACAACAAGAGGAAACAAAATGCTATCAATCATTAAAATTCCTTTGGATTAAAACGACATATGGTAGACCATTTTATATTAACAGGTGGTATATCAGCCTGAGCGTTTTGCCAAATATTTTGCACTTTGATAAAAAAAGTTATCTTCAATAAAGCACATGTTCTGTCACCCTGTATATTTACAATGATATAAAATCATAAATCTTTCTTCAACTAGGATAACTGTTCATGTTTTAATTATGAGAAATGATATGTAATCGGAATGATAAAACATTTAAAGAATTTAAAGAAATGTGCTTTTTATTGAAGACTGTCTTTGTTTCAATATAAAAGAGCTCGGATTGAGCTCTCACATGCGAAACAGGTATCACAACATGCAAAACATTGAATCCAAAATCACAACAAAGACATCGAGAATATAAATCAGTACTGAGAGAATTGCGTTTATTACAAGGCATCTTGGCATATTGTTCTAAAAAATTGACTCCCCATTATTGACTACATTATTTTTTTTTTATAAATTTTATCAGTAATCTATTTGAGCAGCATTGTACTGGAAATTTATGACAGAAAGGAACTCCTTATTGGATTACTTATTTAAAATTTTTATTCAGAAATATGTTTCTAGATATTACTCTAAATGTTTACTTTTGTGATACATTGAAAAACAAAACAGTCTAATATTGCATTTTGTGGTTAATTGGTTCACAAATCAGAGTGGTTTGTTGTTTGTAAAATCAATGAGTGTCATACAAAGGTTTTAGTTTTACGTTCTTAAGTTTTTGAAGAAAATAAAACAACGACAAAAAGCAACAACAAAAATAAAATCAACCAACAACAAAAACACGTTTACATCAATCAATTTTATTATATGGCAGCTAAGTTTTCAAGAACGCGTGTTCATTTACAGAACTGAAACCGCAAGTAAATGGCCGACATCTACACTTTAATGCCGTAATAAAAATATTCAAATGTCTCTAAAGTAAACAGTAATTCTTCATATAACTAATACATTACAAAAAATATTCAATAACATGTTTGATATAAAGAAATATATACAGAACGACACTTTATTTACATCACAGCAAAAGCCTTTTACTTTCTCCAGTATCGTGTTTACCATCATTTTTGTTAAACAGTAATTATACGACTTTGAAAAAATCAAACGTAAAACTTAATAAAGAAACAGGCCAGGTACGTTTTAAATCATCCCAAACGCTGACCCAAAGTTCTAAAAGTGCATGTTGATAAAAATAAGTGCATGTCAAATTAACACGTAATTAAATAAATTTGACACGTGGCGCCTCTTACTATTAGCGCTTATTCCACGCAAGCTTCACAGAAAAACGGCGGAAAAAGAGAAAACAAAAAAATCTAAAGCCATTCTCTTGCCAGTATACAAAGTGGCAAAGAAGTACACATTTTTCACCGGTACCGTCTCTAATTTTGCACTATTGTTTGTTTATTTTAAAAAGAAAGGTAGTGACATTTATTGCAGCGTAACGTGTCCTCCCAAGTCCAAAATCATTTATCAAAGTCAGTGTTTTAATTAGTATCAAAACACGTAATTCAAAAAATTGTTATTCCCGAAGTCATGGTATTCATACTTCCTCCTGCTATTGTTGTTTGTTTGGCTATTCTAGTCATTTACAAAGTGCAAATTGTCATAACTTGTAGACACCTCAAACACAATTGCAACAAATATCTTATATTGAAAAATTTACATAAACGATGCAACATGCACATCACATTCAATTTATCAATTTATGTTAG